GGGTGATAAGAAGCCTCAGGGAGGGACAGGGAGTTGTCCTTGGCCACAGAGCCCAGAGCGAGCACCCAGTGCTGGTGTGTGTCCCCCGGTGGGTGCCTCAGGAGGCTGCGGGCTGTACAGCTGGGTCTATACCAGCTCTATGAGGTGAGTTCAGTCCCTCGGAGGACTAGGGGGCTCGTCCCAGTGCACCCTCGCGTTGCCAGGTGTCGGTGGCTTGCAGATATCCAGCCGTGGTGGCTACCCGGTGGAAGGCTGCTGTTAGAAAAGCTGTGAGCACCCAGAGAGAGGCCCCAGGCAAATGCATGGGTGTCCAGGCCTCTGGCTGCAGAAGGTGCCAGAGCCTGGCACTGGCAATGGAGGGTGGTGGGGTCAACACCTGTGTCCAATGTGAACAGGCAAATGACCTGCTCCTCCTGGTGGCCCAGCTGGAGGATGAAGTGGAGAGGTTGAGGAGTATCAGGGAGTGTGAGAGAGAGATTGACTGGTGGGCCCACTCCTTGAGAGTAAGGGAACAGGTTGAGGCCCCCACATAAACCAGAGGACCCCCCCTTGTCACCAAGCAATGGTTGGGGGGGGGTGTCGGTCTCTCCTCCCAAGTCACAGGTGACAGGACAAGAGGAAATGGCCTCAAGTTGTGCCAGGGGAGGTTCAGGTTGGATATTAGGAAAAATTTCTTCACTGAAAGGGTTATCAAGCATTGGAATAGGCTGCCCAGGGAAGTTGTTGGGGTACCATCCCTGGAGGTGTTCAAAAGACAAGTTGACATGGTACTTGAGAATACGGTTTAGTGTTGGTTAGTTTTTTTCTGGTGTTTCTGTGTTTTGGTTGTGTTTTTTTTTTTAATGGTTGGACTAAATCATCTTAAAGGTCCCTTCCAACATAGACGATTCTGTGATCTCAGAGAAGGGGGGGAATGGAAACAGGTCCCTGCTCAGGGAAGCAGGCGAGTCCCCTCTCAGCCCCCCCACCTTGCCAGTTACCCTTGCAGAACAGGTACGGGGTCCTGCAGGAGGAACTGGCTGTTGGGGAGGAGGACGGTACACCCAGGCTAGAGAGAACAAGTCACCATAGGCCTGGCATCACTACTAGCTCCACAAGGAAAAACAGATGGGTCATTGTTGTGGGTGACTCTCTGCTGACGGGGGCAGAGGGACCAGTATGCCACCCTGACCCACTTCACAGGGAAGTCTGCTGCCTCCCTGGGGCATGGGTCAGGGATGTGATGGACAAACTTCTAGCCCTAGTAAACCCCTCTGATTATTACCCCCTGTTAGTATTTCAGGTGGGTGGTGATGAAGTGGGTAGAAGGAGGTCAAAATCAATTAAAAGAGATTTTAGAGCCTTGGGATGGCTGCTTAAGGGATCAGGAACGCAAGTTGTGTTCTCCTCTATCCCTTCAGCTGCAACCATGAATAAGGAAAACAATATGAAGAGGCAACAGGTCAACTCGTGGCTCCGGGACTGGTGTTATCAGCAGGGCTTTGGGTGTTTTGAGCATAGGCAGCTATGTGAGACACCTGGCCTGCTGGTGGCAAGCTGATGGACAGAGCTTTAAACTAGAAGTGAAGGGGGAAGGGTAAAGGGCCAAGGATGAGGGTGAAATCGGGAGCCCAGCTCAAGTGCATCTACGCTAACACACGTAGTGTGGGCAACAAACAGGAGGAGCTGGAAGGCAATGTGTGGCAGGACAACTATGACATAGCTGCCATCACAGAAAATTCTGGGGAAAACCAACATAGGGAATGTGCAGTGACTGCTGTTAATGGCTGTGCCTCCTCCTTAGGAGGTGACGTTGTTGAGAGAAGAAGGTTTTGTCTGTTTAGGCAATAGCAGCAAAAGTTGGCATTTTTATGGCACAGCAATCTTGGTTTTTTCATGCAATTAAATTGAAATCACTGATGCTCAACAGTGCATGAGTGTAGGTGACTCCTACATGTAGAGGTGGAAAGAGTTAAAAAATATATCTGGATCATAAAAAACATAAGGTCTGAGCTATGAAAGTGTGCCATTTAATCTCCATACTCCAGTAGTAAAACACTGAAAAAATAATGTAGGTAATATTTATTTTCTGTATTTTAGCCACATGGCTATAATCTCCCCAGGATGTCTGTTCCTGCCTCCGCAGCCTGTGCATTTTGCTTTTGTGTTCGAGTTGGGCTAAGAGGTCTTGACTTAGCCCAGCTGGCCTCCTGCCTCCCCTGCCCCACTTCTTGCACATTGGGAGTGAGAGCTCTTGTGCCCTAAGAACAATGTCTTTAAGTATCCCCCAGCTCTTCTTCTCTCCTTCCCCTCTGTGGGCAGTTTCCCAAGGGATCCCACGCGCTAGCGCCTTGAACACCTTAGAGTTTACCTCGCTGGGGTTTAGGCTCCCGACTCTGCTTTTTACCCCTCCTGTATCCCTCAAGAT